TACTCTGTATGCACTGGGAGCACTCATTATTTGGACTCATTATTGAAAATGTAAAATTAACATAAATGAAAAGTTTAAAAGTTACTGAGAGAAACGTGAGTGAGACTGATTACCGAGACAAAGATGTGTGGCGTACCCAAGCCAAGACTTTTCGTATGCGCTTACACTAACAAATATTACGTATTACAAATATTTATATATTATATAATTTTATACAACCCAAATCATTTTCAGTATTGTTTTAGTCTTAGGCATTGTCTGAGTTTCTGCGATCTTTCAGCAAAAATATTCCTGTGTAATTGTTCACGGCAAACTCATGAATGACCAAAATCGTGAATGTGAAATGAGCAAATGTGAAGGGCAGAAATTGCTTTTCTAGCAAAATATTTCAACAGAGTAGAATTGCGGTCCCTACAGGAACTCCCCCACCATGACGTTGGCATCTGGAAACAAAGTACTGCAGAACCTCAATGAAAGCAAGGTTTGTAGCGAATATATTTCACTTAAAAGAGTTGCACATGTCGGTGAGTGATGTTTGTATGTAACTTTTATGTGTTTTTCCTTAATGCTTAATGTCATCTCGATGAACAGAAAATAGTGCACGTCTTGTCAAAGTCAACAAGTTGTAATGCTAAAGTTGAGCAGCCATATCGTTAATGGCATAAGACCACGGACAAATGTTAACTTGGTGACACCACAGTTATTTGTGTTAAAGAAAGTCTAATAGTGGTTAAACGAGATGTTCTGACTGCTAGATGCACCAGCATGGGGGTCATTAGGTCTGATCACTCGGGGCTATATCCCTGTGTATTTTAAGCTTAGCCCTGAATATTTTAGCCTAGATGCCAGTCGTCCTTTTTAAAAAAAAAAGTCAAGCCCCAAATAAACTTGACTTAACCCCTTGTCTTTTCAATAGCTAGAAACAACCCTGTCTACAAGGATTACATTAAATTAGTTCTTGCCCACCACTGTTCCTGGCGATCAAGTGCCCTGCAGATATTAGGTGCCAGGACCTAGGATGAGCAGCCCTGACTCAGTTCATGCATCTTAGTATTGTGAAACAATAGCGAAACAATACTAAGATGTGTGTCACTGTGTGTGAGCTAATGGGCTTGCCGAAAGATATGCATCAACTAGAAGGCAAGTGACACTAAAAAGTGGAGATTTTCAGATTTTCACATTCAGACTCACACTTTAAAGCTGATTTAATAATTGGATGTGTTGGTAAAATGTTTACATGATGTTAAACTTAGTACTTCCTCTCTCTTTCAGCGCCACTTGTCAATCATACCAAGTGGAGAAACTCCACTTCCAGTGAGACGGCATGTTTTACACTGTCCCTTTTGCCTGTATTACAGGGGGGATTATGCAAAAGAGGTAGCCCACCTGAACGGCACCCGCGCTATAATACATTAGACATGTATTCCATCACCGTCTTTCTCAGAGTGTATGTTAACAATATAAGCTTGCGCTGTTCGGTAAATTTGTAATTGATCAATACATATTGAGCTCATATATAGAGATATAAAGTGCTTATAAACATGATTACAAAAACAGACTGATTTTTGCACACCATGTATTTCTCCATTTCACCTTCTTTTCTGTTTAAAAAAGGAATCGAGGATCATGAGGAGTTCTTTTGAAATTTGTTTTTAATTATATGTCAGACATACACTTATTTATTGCAGAAGTTTGTGAGAAAAGGCAAATCCCTGTGTACTGTGCTTTGCTCCTGAATCAGTCGATGGGTGCTAGGAGTGTGTAAATAAAAGTGTGTAAATAAAGTGCTAAAACAACCAGTTTGTCTCTGCGATTGCCTTATGAACATTTAACTATCTTTGTTTTACAGTATAATCATGCTCTATACAGTATGTAGCTTTGTTTGTCACTTCCACTACAGTTAGTTATCAGTTGTGTTTGTTTTATGGATGTACTGAATAATTTACAATTTAGGACCAGCCATAATCTATCACACCTGATTATAATGTTCTAGCACTCCAGAAGCGAGAATGGACACCTCAGCAGTAGCCTGTCTGTTTTCTAAATGTCCAGATCATGGGTTCATAATCCCTGTCCTCGCGACCCCCTGTCCTACACAATCATAACACCATCAGGTGTGCTGAAGTAGGAAATACATATTTAGGGCAGTGAATTATGAAGACCAGGAATGAGTACTACTGCTCTAGATGTATCACATTCGCTGTTTAAAACAAACATGCTAACGGCACTTAAACAGTAGTAGCGGAATCATAATGTGAACGGTGTTCGACCAATTTAAGCAGTAATCGTGGCATTGTAGGCCAATGAGAACTATTTATGTTTGTTGTTTTAATACAGTTTTAACACATACAAGCAAAGCAGGAAGTCCCCGGCAAACTGTGTTCCCTGGTGTGGGCTATGACGTTTGTGTTAAACATAATTGCATAAGAACCAATGAAAACGATGAGGGGTGTTCCTGTCGAGAGCGTTCCTGTTTTTATAGGAATGCCACTCAATGCAATTCGATCCCCTTCAAATATTTTAATCTGAACATCAGCTTTAATAACCTAACTTTCATCATCAGACTCAGTTTTGGCTCTCCCTTTCCACCAGCTTCCTCCACATTCTTCTCAATTTTTATTTTTAATAATCAGCTATCTGGTGCCTCCTTTTGTAACACCTCTCTCTCCAAAGGCTCAAGATGTTGCATTATTCAGCTATTAGTTTGACATCTTGTGGACCACATATCTCACAAGTGAATCTTGCAAAAGTTGTCCTAGGAAGCACTGAGAACAAGATGGGCCATCCTGGATAGTAAACACGCTTTTACATGAGGTAGGGGTGTTTGTACTGTGCAGATACTGTATAGGAGAATTTGGTTTGCATCGACATGCATAGGGTCAGGCTACATAAAAGACGCACTAATATTAGGAGCAAGCAGCAGTATTGGGCTCACCTTGACACAAGCGATGACCTGTCTGCAGAACTGGCTCGATCCCAAGGCCTCCGCTGGGCTTCTGGAACAGAAGCAGCACAGTGAGACCAGACACTGTCCCCGACACCACCTATACTGACATGACATCACCTATGTCCAAAAGTGATGAATTTGCATGTTTTATAAGCAGTACTATGCAAAGGAAAACTGTTTAAATGATCTTCCTGTTGGGAAATGTACTGATGTAACATCATGCCTGTGAAAATTACTTGGTTCAGCTATTTTAAATTTAATAAATACATGGAATGGCTGAGGAGCCCCTGAAGGCAGGTTTTGGAACCAAAGTGATGTTCTTCTAGTCATCCAGCAAGAAGTAACTTTTTTGGAGCTTTGCTATTTATTTGCATATACAGACGCTCCTCTACTTACGAATGAGTTACGTTCAGAATGGCCGTTCGTAACTTGAAATGTTCGTAAGTTGATATTCAACATAATTTTAAGGGTATACGCAAGTAAAAAGAATTGGGATGCTGGGAGTATGCACGCTACGCTGCTGCGTGGCGAGAGAAGCGGACAGAAGTCATAGTAGGCGGAACTGCCGTGGAGAGAAAAAAAAATGGTGTTGCAGACAGGAAACGCGAGCCTGAGGAACACAATTTGGACTTGCAGTCCTCTTCGGTCATATGTCTGAAAGTTTGTAAGTTGAAAGTTCGTAAGTAGAGGAGCGTCTGTATATGTCAAAAATGAGAGGCAGCCACCTGCTTACCTGCCCCACGTGTTACAGGAGATGGAGAGAGGCTGAGGTCTTCCTGTAAGACAAAGTAGTCACCGTCAACCAGAGTGCACTGATGCTGTGCGGTCAGACACGCTTAGTAAACACCAGTACTGGGCTCACCCACATGCAGCAATCCTTACAAATGGATAGACAAGCTCGCCAGTTACAGTGCCAACGTCTCAGACTGGCATGAGGGCACCTCCTGTGACATACTCACATTTTGGCTGTCTTCCTTTTCTACAGGCTTCTCTGCTGCTTTCCTTCTGCCATCGAGAACATTACACTGACATATACAGTATACTCATTTAAAAATACTCAGCAATCTGGGGTAAATACATATTTAAATTATGATCTTTCGACTAGATTTCCCAAGCGATAAATATTCAATTATTAGATAATACATACATGATAAATGACACCAAATCGGATATTTATTAAAGAGGCACCATACAGTTCAGGACAGAAATCGTCAGTGAGAAAAGGTTGACAGCCCCCCACACTCACCTTCGCGCCAGCAGGGCGTTCATCTCCTCCATCAGGCCACCGCTCGTTCTGTTGGCGTCGCCCTTGGCGCTGTCGTCAGACTAAGAGTCAAAGGAAATGACGCTTAAATGATCTTCATGTTGGTCTAAAACCATGATAATGTCTGTCAAAGTGTGTTAGCTTAGCTATTTCAAAACCTCTCCTAAAGTCACCCCAGTATTTGTTGGCAAAATACCCAGATATTTGTTGACTTGTCTACTACCATATCATGTTTGGCTAACAAATAACTCATCAAATTTAATTAAATAAGATACTTAAGTGAGCTGGTGGTAAAATCTGGGAGTTTGCAGACCTAAGTGGTGTACTTCTAGCCAACAATCCTTACTTTATTATGTCATTATTTGCTTTCATGTATTCTGTTAATGTTTTTTGACCAAATACGCACTTACATGCCAGATAATCAGCTTCACACATTCTCCTTGACTTCTAAGACTTTTGCACATTAAGGGTGCTTTTCCACTGCATCAGGTGCCGTACTTTTGGTACTTCATGAAAGTATGATACTTCAAGGTATTGTTTTTCCACTGATGTAAAAACTGGTGCCGGTACAGAATGACATCCCAATGCGGTATTTTGTCTTCCTCCAAAATACTTCCTTCCTTCCTTCCTCGAAAAATAGCAATAGTATATTATAGGGTTAGACAGTGTGTGATATTAATACCATCACTGCATGTTATACCCATGCAATTCTCACATTACTATCCATCCATCACCATGTAATCCCAACCAGGGACATGGGGGGACCAGAGCCTATCCTAGGAACAACAGGCACAGGCAGGAACCAACCCCAGATAGGCACCAACACACCAAAGGGTGCACACACACGCACTGGGCCAACTTAGAGTCATCAATCAACCTATCCTGCACACGTTTGGACTGTGGGAGGAAACTGGTGCCTCTGCCTGAAACCCACATGAACACAGAGAGAGCATACAAAAGGTCCAGGGACCCAGGGACTGAACCCAGGACTTTCTTACTGCAAAGCAGCAGCACTAACCACTGCACCACTTACTAGTCAGCTGGAAAATTGGCTTTTTCTTACCTTCAATTCTGTACAGACATTATAGCACAGGGAGTTTAAGCTTTGCTAGAACATGTTTACTCTGTCACGCGGAAAAAACTAAGCAAGTTTTGTAATTTTAATGATTATTCCTTTTCAAGATATTCTAGAATGGTCAGTGATAAAAACAGTGGTCTCAAAGTCCTGGCCTGCGGACTGGAGACATATGGTCTGCATCATGTTTTTATTTTTCTATTTAATCTGGCCCTCAAATCAATCTTTACTTTGTACTAGGGATGAAATGGTTACCAGTTTCATGGTAAAATTCCCGACACTTAGTATTACATTTTCAAATTTGAATTACCATTAAAACTATGGTTCATTACTGCACTTTGAAAAAGTTCTCCTGCATCAACCAAAGGTAGCAACAGTCCCCCAGACAAATGGAGACAGACACCACTTGGAACATGGGTTTGTTTTGTGTCAGTAAAAACATGGAGGAAGACAGTTACAATGCTCTGGAGCTTTTTCAGCCTTTTAAGAGGACTAATTCTGGTGTGGTAATATTTTGGGTTTTAATCTTTGTGATCACCACCCTGAAACTTCAAAATAGGGGGAAATGTTATGGTTTGTCTGTTTAACTTGCTAATAGTTTGTCAGTAATGTACACTGAAGTTTTCAGTGTTTCTTTGTCTTGTAAGAACATTACATATTGTCAGTAGTGTAATGGAAACGGCACTTTGCCTCAGCCTCAAAACTAGCGGAATACCCATTTGCTAAAAACTAATTCCATGTACATTTGTATTCATATCTTCTAGAAACAGAATAGTTTAGACCAATTTCCGTCTTCTTTATGGATTTTTCAGCGTAACTATGATGTGTCAGCATTATTTGTATTTGCCTGAATTTCAGTAAATAGTTGAAATCTTATGAGATTATACTTCAGATGGAGCTTATTGACTGACCACGTGACCAGAATGTCCTGAATATAGTTAATGACTGTATAAATTTTAAATTTCAAGTGAAAAAGATGGGACATGTTTTTTTTTGCGATTTTTTACGTGGCCCCCTTGGAGGAACACCACGTAGCATGTGGCCGCCAGGTAATTTGAGTTTGAGGCCCCTGTTTTAGTATATGTGTAAAAGTCAGCTTGCAGCTTGCTTTGGCATGAAGCACTACATGTGTTCTCCCAAGGAATCATTATCATTTTCCTCTTTACTGTTTAAATTACTCCTAGATGGGTTTGTGTTTTTTTTTTTTATTTGCTTTATAAATACCCCTAGATTTATTACAAGAAAATCACCCATGCATTTTCCAAGCCACTTATCCTACTGGGTCACAGGGAGTCCAGAGCCTATCCCAGAAGATATGGGCATGAGGTGGGGAACAACCCATTATGGGGGGCCAGCCCATCGCAGGGCACACTCACATACCTATGGGCAATTTCAGTAACCCCAATTAGCCTTAGCATGTCTTTGGACTGTGGGGGAAAGCTGGAGTACCCCATGACGACACAGGGAAAATATGCAAACTCCACACACATGGAACCCAAGCAGACACTTGAACCCTGGTCTCAGAGATGGGAGGCAATAGTGCTAACCACTGCACCACCATGGCACCCAAAAAGGAAAATCATTGCAAAATTTTCCAATTATACAAAATACTTTATTCCTTGTAATGCTTTCCTGATCTTCTTGTATCTGATTTTTCCAGCTGATCACAATTAAGCTTGGGTCTCTTCATTTGTACACGCTTCCATTATTATGGAAATTCCATTTACTGTTGTATTTTTTTTTCAAGACACCACTTGTATTGTTTTAGAAGCAGGCTATTTGCATAACCAATCAACAAAGAAAGTATTTCAAGTCCCATCCCAAAGTACCAAAAAAGTACCCCAGCTGGTTTGGCACTTGTGGTACTGGTACTCAATTGGAAGTCAATGGAAAAGGGAAAGAACAAAAAGTACTGTATCAAAAGTATGGCACCTGATGCAGTGTAAAAACACTCTGTGTGTACTGGGATTTAATCCCATCCTTATTATGATCATACTCAGCCAGTGTCCATCACTAACCCTCTGCACACGACGCAACTTTGCCCCAGCAATGGCAGCTGCCAGGCCCGAGGGGGGATGGGCAACCTGGCCCTGTGCCCATGGAGCTCCACTAGCTGGGAGTGGGGGTGGAGGTGGAGGCGGTCCAGTGGAAGGTGGAGGTGGCCCTGGAGGAGGTGGAGGTGGCAGATACATGCCAATGGGGGCAGGCATGGCAGCAGGCACACTTGAGGTGGGGGCCACACTGAGCACCGAGGAAGCAGAGGGTCCTGCAGAAACAGAAAAAGCCACAATGCCCTTAAACTAAGATACTGTCCACATTTTCTCACTGAGTGAAAGCCAGAAACCAGGAGAGACAGGATGAAACAATTGGACACAAACATGGAAACTGCATGACCTACCAGCACAGAGAATGCAGACAAACAGCTGGACACTATATAACCTACCAATACAGAATATAATGACAAAAAACTGGATACTGTATAACCTACCAGTCCAGAGTATACAGGCAAACAGCTGGATACCGTGTAACCTACCAGTGCCGAGTATACAGGCAAACACCTGGATACTGTATAACCAACTATCACAGAGCATATGGGCAAACACCTAGATACTGTACAACCTACCAGCGCAGAATATATGACCAAATAGCTGGATACTGTATGACCTACCAGCACGGAGTATAGAGGCAAACAGCAGGATACTGTAAAATCGGAGTTAGTATACATAAAGGGTCATTGGGTTTGAGGGTTTTTGCTGCAACTTGGCAGAGATGCATACTGTATGACCTAATGTCAAGTATTCAAGCAAAATTCAGCTGGACACTGTATACAGACAAACAGCTGGAAGATACTGTATGACCTACTAGCCCCGACCATACAGGCAAAGAGCTGGATACTGTATTTCCCACCAGCATAGAGTATACAGGCAGAGCTGGATACTGTATAACCCATCAGCACAGATTATACAGGCAAAGAGCTGGATACTGTATAACCCATTAGCACACAAACAAACATCTGGATACTGTATAACCTACTACCGCAGAGTATACAGGCAAAGAGCTGGATACTGAATGACCTACTGTCACAGAATATGCAAGCAAACAGCTGGACACTGTATACAGACAAACAACAGGATCATACGGTATGACCTACTAGCCCCGACCCGCAAACAGCTGGATAGTTTAAAACCTACCAGCACAGAGCACACAAACAAATAGTTGGATACTGGATAACCTACCAGGGCAGACCATACAGGAAAACAGCTGGATACTGTATGACCTCCTAACGCAGAGAATATGGGCAAACAGCTGGATACTGTATAACCTACAAGCACAGAGCATACAGCAAAGGACTGGGTGCTGTATACCGTATTACCTAGCTGCACAGAGTATAGAGGCAAACAGCAGGATACTGTAAAATAGGAGTGAGCAATCGTATCCATAAAGGGTCATTGGGTTTGTGGGTTTTTTCTGCAACTTCCTAATTAGATTACTAATTAGAGAACTGACTGACTGAAGAGTCCTCACACCTCGGTTTGAACAATTGACTTAAAGGTTATCCCAAAAACTTGCATACACATACTGGCCCTTTGCAGATAAGATTGCCCACCCCTACTATATAATCAACTAGCACAGAGTATACAGGAAAATAACTGCATACTGTATCACCTACCAGCACAGAATATACAGGCACACAGTTTGATACTGTATAACCTACTATCACAGAATATACAGTGAAACAGCTGGATACTGTATGGCCTACAAAGCCATAGGATATCCCAGGATGTTAAGTGCCATGTTTCTGCTTCCCTGATACGAGATCGCATGTGGGATTCACTGGTAACCTTTGACATGTGGCAGCACTGTGCAGTGGGTGACACTGGCTCTGTCCAAGCTGCTCACCTGAGTTGGAGGCCCGTCTCTCCCTTTCCTGTGCCTGCATCTGCTGCTGCTCCATCACCTGTCTGTGGACATACAGGGACAGGCTGGTGCCAAATGTACAACATTGTGGGACGAAAGTAGGTGTGTATGGCTGAGATGAAGGTATATGATCCAAAAGGACAACATTAACCGCAATACCATCACATGAACCTTCTTCGGATATGGGAGAAAAAAGTTGGGTACTCTAGCTACAACATTGTTCGCACTTTAAGCACAAGAAAACAGCTATGGGCTGAGAAATATGGCCACTGCAGACATATATCCTAATGAATGCCATGAAGTACAGAATATTATATATATATAGTACATGGGGTCTTCGGGTTACGACACAGTTCCGTTCCTACGACAGTGACGTAACCCGAATTTTGGTGCAAATCAAAACACACCCTTTTTCTGATCTCTTTACAATGTCTAATTTCACTTCCATCGCGATGGCTTTCCCCTTCACAAATGGAACACTTGCGCTTTTAACAGTCAAAAATGGCACAGGTAAGCATACTGGGTTACGCCAACTCCTTCACTCATACGCCGCATTACTGCGTATTCTTCTGCCGCATGCAAGCAAACTAGTTTGCCCACGTAGTTCATAAGTACGACACTAATTAACGGTTCAAAAGTTTTTATGGGAGTGAGTGTCGTAAACTCAAAACGTCATATGTCGAGATGTCGTAACCCGAGCACCCCCTATATAGGGATTGGTCACTAGTGAGAGTGTTCCCAAGTGTTTCTGATGTTTCCAAGAAACCAGATTTCAATATGAATCACTGAGATCAGATTTAAAAATATACCAGATAAGGTGATGTAAGGACTAATTCATGAAACAGGTCTTATTTTCGTTTGACATGTTTAGCTGCAGTGCGAATCAGCTTCAAAATATCACTTCATTACTATTTCAATATTTGTCAGATGTATATCCTTCAGCCCCTTCCCCTTCCAATCAGACAGTAAGGAGAACACTTGTACAGAAAGGTTGGTCTTAGTGCACCACTAGAAGATTCTCACTTTTTACGTCTAGATATTCATGTGAACTTTTATAATTTGTAAGGTTCAAACTGCTCACCAATGGTAATACTTTACTTGAGGGGCACAAATACTTAGTAGTAACTTAGTTACTTCCGAGGTACAAATAATGAACAAACATAGTAGCTGCTTTAGATAAAAGATGTGTCATGATTCATTAATGATAAACATGAGATCAGTATTTAACTTGTGTTATTCATTACTTGTTCTTTCAGTAGTTCCTTCAGTAGTTTACAAAGGTTTACAGAATTAACAGATACAGTGGTACCTCAGAACTCAAACTTAATCCGTTCAGAGCTCCGGATCGAATCCTAAAAAGTTTGAGTTCTGATCGAATTTTCCCCAAAAGAAATAATGAAAAACCAAATAATTGGTTCCCGGCCCCAAAAAATTACACTGAAATATGTTTTTTAGCATTTAAACACAAAATGAACCGGATAAAACAAGAGCATAAACTGTACTAAACACATCTAAGCACATTTATCAAAACAGTAATTTTTAAAGTAGGAAAATAAATGTATCCAAACAATGTGTCCTGCCCCGATCATCCGCTCCTTCCGTGTACCACGCCCCCTTGTTAACCCCGTGTGGAATCCCTGTGTGATCAGCTGTTTCTGGTTGTTGTCATTAGTCCTCTGTATTTAGTCCATGATTGAGTTTGTTTCCCCAGTCCGGTCATTTTATTGTCCATCTGCGTTTTGCCTGCCTTACCTGTAATTAAACCCCGTATTCCCCGATACCCTGACGTCTGCGCCTTTGTCTCCGTTCCGTCCCCGCTGGACACAACAATATTATTATAATTAAATGTATTAATGATTTATTATTAATATTAAAATAAGGAATCTTTATTTTAAAATGTATTTTATTATAAAATAATTACTGTTACTGTCATTGTCTAAATGTATTTTTACTGTCTAAATATATGTATTCAGCTAGTGTAAACATGCATGATGCTATCACAGTGAATGCGAGGCTGAGACTGAAGCATTACCCTTTGTTTCCGCTGAGAGATGTGCTGCGTGACTCATTTCCCCGCGCGTACAAGTTATCTTATGTCTGTGTTCACGGTTTGACTTCTGAGATTCAGATCGAGTTCTAGGAATTTATTTTTTTCTAACTGGTTGGTTCGACTTATAAGAAATTCGAGTTATAATGAGTTCGAGAACTGAGGTACCACTGTATAGTAAAAATATTGAAACTGCTTGAGATAAAAGAAGCATCACAATTCATTAATGATGAACAAATCAGTATGTAATAGATCAGTATGTAACTAAGACTTAGTTTGTGGTTAATAAATACACAAGTAACAGCATACTATGTTATCTGTGCCCCATCAAGTAAAGTGTAATTTGGTAATCTGTTAGCCTAATTGAGTTTGTGTTCCAGTCGGATTTTCAGGCTAGCTGCGCATGTTTTGTCATTCATATCCTGTGTGTACTGCTTGGAGGCCTTGCCTTCTCTGCCCCTCCTGGTCATCTGCAGGGGCCCCATTCTGGATTTGGCGTGGGGCAGCTGGACCTGAGGTGAGGGGAAATGGAAGAGCTTACTTTACCTGTGTACCCACAGAGCTTCATTGTCTGGTTCATCTGGGGAGTCTACCTGCTGGTAAAACTTTGTATGACTTTTTCATGTAGCGGCATTTGGCAAATGGTATTTAAAATGGTAGTTAAAATAACAAACAAGAAAAGGTCACACTTTGCATGATCAGGTTATGCAAATTGCGGCCTTTTCTCATCTGTTATTTCAATGACTCAGTATTACGTTCAGCTCTCTGAAAAGTTGACAAAGACTGGGAGTGAAACCGCTCTCTATTTCTAAATTTGTGGTAGTGACGCATGGAGAACATCAGCTCTTGTCAGACTGGTGCCTCGTTTCCACCAACGCAGTGCTGGTGGCAGAGTTTTTCCCAATCTGGCACTGGTTCCATGTATTTCCATCGCAAAAAATGGCCCTGGGCCAGAAAAAGGTCTCCAGCACAGCACCACAGAAAAGCTGGGCGCAGAATTTGGCACCATAACGTCAGTGAAAGTGGGATGGGCTATGGTGTCCAAACCTTCCTCATACCCATAAAATTCAATCCATAACCGATATAGTTTAGTCTTATAACAGTGTATGTATAATTCACATAAATGATGCAAGGTTACATAGTTTTTTTTATTCTGAGAAAAACGTAAGATCGATCTGCTGACCAGATTTAATAACAAAGTATAAATATGTCGCAGGTTGAATAAATAAAATATTTTGGCATTTGAGTGGTGAAGAAATTATGAGGTGGACAGCAAAGTTCAGCAGCTTTTAGCATTACTGCACGATCCTTAAAAGGATCATGAGTAAAGTTTAGTTTTTAACAGACTCTTATTGCACAATCCTTAAAAGGACAGCAGTAAATCAATAACTGATAATAAAGAATAAACTCACTTACACACACAGACGGGGAGCCTTTAAGGAGACAAAAGTGGATACAGGCAATAGATACCGTGCGCAATGAGTCATACTCTGGAAACTTTTCTTTTGGTTCAGAAAAATAAATCCAAAAAAATGAAATACAGATTAACCTTTACTTTACTTTCACTTCCTCCTACATAACATTTCTGTTCCATTCTTTTTAGAAAACAGTGGAAATGCAGGCTGGTTCTCAATAGGCACCAAGCGAAAACTAGCCCAGCACCAGCACCAGCTCCAGCTACATGTTGGTAGGACCGAGGTATGGGTGGTTTGAGTATTTCAGAAGCTGCTGATCTCCTAGGATTTTCACTAAAGTCTCATGTCAGAAACACAAATCCAGAATAACTGCACTGGTTTGAGATGGCAGGTGTGTTACAATAACTCAAACAATAAATCTTTGCAAGAGATGTGAGCCTAAAAGCATCTCATAGTCTCTGAAAGCATTTCATGATACACTGAACCATAAGGTGCAGGGCCTACAACAGCAGAAGACCACATTGGGTTCCACTCCTGTCACCTAAGAACAGGAAGTTGAGGCTATATTTGGCTTAGGCTCACTGAAAACATACCTTATGCCCAAGCAAAAGAAGCCATGTCCTGACTGGAGCCAACAACCAGGTCAAACCCACAAGATCACACAACCTGTCACTACTCTTTTCTACTATCCTTGTATTCCCCACCTTCCTGGGTCAAAAACCATGTTTGCCTATCTCCCCCTGTTCCTGCAGTGTACCAGGTCATCCTGGTGTAACATATGGCACCAGCACCATGCAATGAAGCCCACATAGCTTTCTTATGAAGCTGACACTAGACAACGGCATGGAGGCATATCTCAACACATTGGAGGCAGTCGCTGGCCAAGAAGGGTGGTGCATCATGACACCAAAAATTTTAAATGTAATGAATCAATTTGGAAATTGCGGTATTTGATGAAAGTGTGCTGTACATATTGCGGCTTAATTCATAGATAGGCTTGTTTATTTCAAGAGTCAAGTTTCAAGATTCCTTTATTGGTCACGTACATTTCAAAGTAATTTAATATTTAAATAATTTACAGTATTGATTTGCTATTGATAGTGAGGTATCAAAATCAAATTTACAAGTCTACATGAGTGAGTACATGGAGACATCTGCCAAGTACCCTGCACCACTGTTTGACTGGCGGGTTCTCTAGAAGCCAGGAATCTGAAGTTTAAGGTGGTGCCCAAGATACCGGTACATCTCCTGACTGAGAGGGATTTCTTAGGATTTGATACTCTCTGGTGAGCCAGAAAATGAGCCTGTCAATACCAACAAACATGAAGAAACAGAAGGGACTTCCTTATGCAGGAGACCCCACAACTGGTGGCCCTGGAAGAAGAGGATGCGGAGGATGCAAACCTGGGAGGAAAACCCTTTCCATTGCGCCAATCTCTTTCTGGTCTGTTTCAGTAGGTGACCTAGGAGTCCTTCTTTCATGAAAAGAGTTACCATAACACTACGCAGTGGTCCACAATTACCCCTATTCTGAGACCACCAGTTGGGGGGAGACAGTTGACCTGCTTGTGGTACAAGTCATGCACATTACAAATACCAACCCCCTGAAAAGGCATCTGGGGGAACAAAACACAGTGGAGAAAATCCTGGACTGGATGCATTAAGCATGGATGCCAATAGACCTCACCCCATGCCATTCGCTCCCCATCATTGACATGTTCTTTGAGTGACTTAGGACACTTTCACAGTCTGCCAGACAACACAAATATGTCCTGCTGCTGGTTGATTATGCTACCCACCACCCTGAAGGTATACCACCCCCGGCTACAAAGGTGAGCATCCCAAAAGACATGATAACTGACCAGCAAACCCCAAGCGTCTCCAGACTCATAGGTGACCTCTACAGTCTTCTTTGGATATCTCATCTTGGGACCCCTTCTGACCTCCCATAAAGTAATGGTCTGGTCGAGCATTTCAACCAGTGGATGCTTCTCAAGGTGCTGGGTGACGATAAGTGCAGCTGGGACCTCATCATCCCACACACGCTTTTCCCCATATGACGAGACATAGAGGACTCTTCCGTATTGCACAGGAGGTCAACAAGTCCCAACCAGCTCCAAACCCATCCATCATAAAACATATCCAGTATATGTTACAACAAATCGGAAGGTGCATCCCTGTGGTTAAGAAAATCCTGAAGGTGACTAACAGAGCAGAGCAGCAATTTTACAACAAGCCTGCTGACCACCCAGAATTCCATCCAGGTGAGTGCTTTTTTGTCCTCATTCCCAACTCTTCAAGTTCTAGACCACCTGGCAAGGTCCCTATGTCATCAAGGGGAGAGGGGCTAGTGAACTTGTGGATCAGCCAAGCAGAATACAGGAGGACCAACCAAATATATGTGATGTGTGACAGAGGAGGAAGTCTACAGGATGTTGCAGATGGGAGTGACTGAGGAGGGCCAAAGTATAGTCCTACTCTCACTGTGCCCAAGCCTGACAGTAGCTTCTGGTGTTGTAATTATTTGAGAAAGCTGAACAAAGTGTCTCTGGGGTATTGGCAGGAGCCCCTGACAGCAGTGGCTTAGGAGAAGACTACATTAAGCACTCCTGGGTCAATCACTATCTGCCTTTGTGCCTCTTTTTTAATATACACATCTTCCAGCTCAGACATACTATGCATTTTCCCTTTCACTACTCAAATACAATCAACATGACAACAGACAGAAAACTCTGTAAACTCTGTAAACATGACCACAGTACTAATGAACACAGAAAGAACAGTCCCAACAAAGAAGAGTACAGTAAAGATGGTGACTCACCTCCATCTTGACTACTCAACACATTGAGGGCAAAGAGCATTGCATTTGAGAATGTGGTGGCCTCTTCCTTGCTGGCAAAGTTGAGTCCATAGACCTGCCTGGCATCTCGCCACTGATGAAAAGTGGGTGTGGCTTGATTATATTTCAGTCCTCTCACAATGGAGTAGTTAATGACCACCTGCGTGAAGATAATGAGAGACTAATTGTGTAATTGTGACATCACAAGTCTATGACATTAAAAAACAAGTTTAGGTATATTTAAACTATAATAAGTAATGTAAACTATTTCCTTTATTATTTCCCCATCCCCTTTAATAATATTATTTGTATTTTATGATTAATTGGTGATGTTTGAATTACTGTATATTGGACCTGGCCAATGAAGGGGAACCATGTAAACAAGAATCATGTAAATATGAAGGCAGAGACAGTCCTCTATTTATTTTATTATTCTTGATGAGCTTACCTGCTGGTCCTGCAGCTTCACGCCTACCACACGGAAGCTGTTGTTTGCCGTGTTGTGGTAGATGTTGATGCGGCTGAAGCCCTGTTGTCCAGGCTTGATTGGCACCCACTTCTTGCTGCTGTCATCATAGACCATGACTGATGCCCGGGCCTGGCAAATGCTTTGCTCACTATGAACAGAAAAAGGTCTCCCTTGAATCATTGAGTTGTCATTAGCATATCTTGGCTGTCAGCTTCACTGGGGTCTGATAGGGACATATATTGCACCTGTATGATCCCAGTTGAATGAAGAGAGATATATCTCTTCTCCAGTTGGTCCTGGAATGGCCAGTTTACGTAGCATGCCTCCCCTGGCATGTGAGCAACATTGAAGGTGCATGTGCTACTTTCCGACTGTGTGTGTTCTTTTGTTGGAGATAGATGAGAAAACTGACTAATAATACTATTCAAATTCCCCCTTTGTTATACTTTAATCATAAAACATTGAATAACCTCCCACATCTCCTAAGAAGTTGTTTCTAATTTCATGTTTTAGCTTTTAAATCTGTCATTTTCGCTTCTCATCCCCATTTGACACAGTCTGAATTTAGTCTGAATACTATATACTAAGTATATACAGTATATGGACATTGAGAAACAGTGATATGATTTTAAAGACTGTCCATCCACATTCCTGTTCCTATAATACAGTGGTTTTAGCAACCTTCAGTAGCCTGTGTAAGTGAGGCTCAATACCCAAGAGGACCAACTACTGAGGACACTGAGGCTGACGAATCACAGTATTCAATGTTATGATGAGGCTAAGAAGTACTGGTAATGACATTTGCTATGTGTAGTGTGCACAATAAAAACTGTACTCCAGTTCCAACAATGTCACACTGTGTAGCACAAGATAATTCACGTGTGTTTTTATAATAACCCTTGTCTTCTGTGATAGAACATAATTGGCTAATAACAACTACAACAATAACAACAATGGATAATAACAATAATAATTATAATAAATGGTTCTGTATAGCATAATATTACAATATTACAAATATAAAACAAATATAATTGTTAAAATATTATTAAAATGTCTTTAAATTGCGAACCTTGATTTAATTATTTTTAGCATTCCTTTGTTAATGCACATTATATTTTACAACTTCATTTCCACACAGTTACTTTTACACTATCAAAGTGGATTTTTCCTTTTTTCTTCATTTTTTTTCACCTCAGCTGTCAGGGGAGCTTCTTGTCACTGTTAACTTTAACTCTTAGCAATCCTGATCATGATCGCAGTGAGGCAAATGGGATTTATTCCAGCTGACCTCTTAATTATACCTAATGAAGCTGTAAATCATTTAGTTGGATTGACAGTTTATCGTAGACTTCTGCTCCCTAATTGTAAGAATTTGTGTTTTTCAAGAACTGATGCTGATACCAAAATTTTGACAGTAGTACAGCTGATGACCAAAATAAGATCAATAATGAATTGTATTTAAATACAATGAGAATACACTTGTGGAATATATTAAATATTTTAATCATAATACTGCTGCACATTTTAAATTTTCAATTAAAAATCTAGCAAAACCAAGTATTACGAATATTTATCTTCCCGTTAACAAAATTTACAAGTAAAAAAAAAATAAAAATCCACAAAAATCAATAAACCTGGCAAACAAAAATTCACACTTCAAATATTAAACATTATATTCTATAAAACTATGCAATTCACGGAAGAGAGCTGTATTTCACTGTAGAGGTAAATCTGGGTAGGGTGTGAACAGGCCTATTCACTCATTAGGAACATCTGCTGACATCTGCAGCCTGCTCAGACAGTCTTACAAAGAAGCCTCACACTGGAAAGTTAAATATTGTGGGGTAAATTAAGATTAACATGAAACTAGAAAAAAAAATATATATACAGTTATAAGATTTAAAGTTAATCCTACGGTGACACCACAGACTGAATGATGTACTGTTAACTGCATGCATAAATAATCAACATACTGTAAAACACTGCTCTGACTGAATGGCCTTGGTTGGCCCTCACCATTTGACTCTGTGAGTGAATTTGCATATGTTTGAATGTTCTGGACACTACTCGTGCTGTGTACACTTAAGAGAGAAGGTTACTGATAGCCATGTGTACTGTGTACAGAGACCACTAGTGAGTCTCTATATTCTTGTTTACAGCTAGTGCAGGTTTTTGAGCATTACATACTTACACATACAAAAGCTTATTGAGGGGCCTGGAGCCTATTCCACGCAGTATTAGAGACACATATTAGAATAACTACATGTCCATGGGCTGTGGGAGGACATTCGCATAACACAGGGAGAACCTCTGTATATACACATGCACATTTCTATTCATATTATTGTGGAGACCATTCATTCATTTATTTGGGCAAATCCCTAATCCCAACAATGATAACCTTAATCCCTACACAGCCCTAACCTTAACCTTAAGTAACCAAACAAAAACAAGACTTTTGGCATTTTTACTTTCTCAATTGCATTCACAGATTTTTATAAAATTGAGTTTCCCCTTGTGGGGACTCCTATGGGCATAACCCTAATCCCACAGGCCACCCCTCCTGATTAACTGTGCCTCAAATAAAGAACATTTAGTTAAATGCTATCAGATCTTCTTCTTTTTATTATTATTAATAGTAGAGTATGCCATGTGTCACGCCCAGCTCCATCCGATCCTCGTGTGTGCCACACCCACCTCGTAACCTCGTGTTAATCCCTGATTGTCATCAAATGTTTCCTGTTTCTCTTGGCTGTCTTGTGTATTTAGTCCGTGTCTCAGTCAGTAGTCCCCAGATCTGTCATTGTATTGTTACGTAGTGTCTAGTGGTCGTGCTTCCCCGTATGCTCCCTGTCCTTAAAATAAAACCTGTTTGCCCGTCCGCTTGGCTCTACTCGCCTGTCTTCCCGATTCGCCTGCTCAGCACCTTGACACCATGAAAATATTCAGATTTAGCTTCTATTATATAGACCATGACATTAAACGAAAGGGTCCAGCCATGACGAGGAGTCATCCAGGGTAAAGCAGAGACCCGGAGGTGTGCTGTCACATCGCAATACAGAGCGATTCTATAGTCACAGTGTATGCAGTTAGCTTTTTTAATTTGTAAACTATTGCTGTTACACTAACAATATATAAAGTGATATTCATCCTTCCATTTTTACTGTTGTTCATCTTCACTAATATGGCAGTTTAAGTAACAGTGTAAGATCCTGCATTATGTATGCTGAAGTTGTGGGAATTTTTTAAATTATGACCCATGCTGGGTTGATAACTATGATAAGCTAGCTGGCTGGAGTTGGATTTTCAATTCTGCACACACATTTACATGTATGTAAGTTTATTACCTTTTAATTCTGGAAGTGTGAGTGTCACATCAAATGCATGAGAGTTGGCAACCCTGTATGCACAAATTTTTGGATTCCGTCACAAAGGTCACTGGAAAAATGACCTCAGCTCAGGGTCCACTATGATGCCCTTATACGTCATTCTCCTGCACCCTGAAAGATCACAAACTTATCCTAACTTTCCAAAAAGAATCACTAGCACAATCACAACAAATATAAAATCGCGACTAGGAGATTTCCTAGAGAGTAAAAAAGTAAATATAGGGGATTTACAGAATCTGTTCTTAGCAATAAATGGGACTTTCTGCCAGCTCAGTTTATGAACTGAATGATTCTGAGTTTTTGGTAACCAAGTAATTTTGTGGTGTTTTCCAAAAAAATGCCAGGTCTGCATGGTCCAGCCCTGGTCACCTAAGCAACTCACACAAATCAGTAATTATGATGTCACATTTTATTTTCGGAATTTGAAATAAATGCACAACATGTGTTTTGATAAGAATTCAATTTTAGCCATTGAAACACTTACATTGATAAGTGTTTAATTGGTTTGATGCATGTGGCTATGTATTAAACTGTTAAAGTGTTTTCTAAACAGATACATGTCATGCATGGTAGATGTAATGTAATTATGATGTCTAATTTCAGTGATGTAGTATTACAATGCTACAAGAAACATTAGGTGAAATAATATTAAAAATAAGCTTATATTACCATAGCTAAGCATTTTTAAAAACATATTGTTACTGTGGTGTAATACAAAAAGCTTTATAAATTACCACTGTATTTTAACTGAAGATACACTGTAATACTATGTAGTATACCATGGTACATAGGTTGAAGTTGAAGTTGAAGTTTATTGTCAATTCTTACTTGAAAACCCCTCCCTCGCAGACAGAACATCATCCTGTCTCTTATACACATCTCTCCCTCGCAGACAGAACATCATCCTGTCTCTTATACACATCTCTCCCTCGCAGACAGAACATAACACATGATACACAGAAGACATAGAAGACAAAGTGGTGTAGCAGCAATAAATAATAGTCACAGCTAAGTTGAATAATGTGAAAGTGCGTAATGTAAAGTGTCAGTGCATAGTGTGAAGTAAGTTGCATAGTAAGGTGTAAAGTGACAATGCAGTATACGTTGTTTTGTGTTCCAGTATTACACATAGTGTGAAGAATAGATTTATTGCACATAGAGAGAGAACCACAGTTACTGTGTGTTGAATATCCTGATGGCACTGGGGTAAAAACTGTTCCTGAATCGTGTTGTGCGTGTGTGAATTGTCCTGAGTCTCTTGCCTGATGGCAAGAAAGTAAAAAGTGCCAGTGCAGGGTGGCTGGGGTCTTTCAGGATGCTCTTACTTTTCCTGAGACAGCACGTGCTATAAATGTCTGTTATGGCTGGGAGTGGTGTGCCTGTGATCCTCTGAGCTGTTTTTACCACCCTCTGTAGAGCTTTCTTGTCCTGAGCAGTGCAGCTGCCGTACCAAGACGCAACACTCCCTGTGAGGATGGACTCCACAGCGCACCTGTAAAAGCTGGTGAGGACAGAGGTGGACACCCCAGCCTTCTTTAGGCATCTGAGGAATTGAAGTCGATGGTGGGCTTTTTTGGTGACCGCTGCTGTATGTTCTGAGTACTTGAGGTTGGCACTGAGGGTGACCCCAAGGAGCCTGAAGCTGCTGACCCTTTCCACAGCACCTCCTCCGATGTAGATAGGGGGATGAGCTGCATCCTGCCTCCGAAAATCCAAAACCATCTCCTTGTTTTTGCTAGGTGGCCAAGTTACAATGCTTTTAGTGTTATTACTCTGCTATTACTTTGATGACAATACCACAGTACTTTTTTGTAAGGGACCATAACACATAATGTTTTCTTGATTAACTATTGGTTATGACACAAGACCTTCAATCAATTAACTTTGCATACAAAGCAATGCCGTGTTTTTCCACTTGCCGGCTTTTGGTACATGGACCCGGAGCAGGAGTTTAGACTAAACTATTTTAAGAGAATGGTAAGAATTCTCTAAGTGAAAAGTGTCAGAAAAAAATTAAATTATATAATGAGATGTATTTATATGTGTTTGCCAGTTTTTTTTTTTGTAAACCAAGCATTATATTATGTACTGGGACGGACATAACTGGTACGCAAGTACGCATTTAACTTTAAAAACGATACAACAAATGCCGTACTTCAATTGTAGTATGCAGGTTAAAATGCAAGGTATGTTCTTGTCATAGCAGCACAATTGCACATAAAATAAGTACGCATTTGCAGTTTTACAAACAATCGATTGTCACACGTATCGTTTTTAAAGGTGAATGCGTACTTGTGTACCAGTTATGTCCATCCTTCATTATATATGACATTATTGAGGTGTTTAGCCACCCCCCCCCTCCCATCTTAAGCCTGAGTGTCCTTGTGATGACAAAAGACCAACGTGCCTTCCTCTGTGACTAAAGGTAAACTAGTACTTAATGTCAGAGGTGGACAGCTCAGGTCCAGAAAGTAAAAATCCTGACCAAGATTTTGTTTCAACCAGCCAGTATAAATGGTAACAGTTACAGGGTGCTCAACTGGTTTGTTGAAAGAAAAAACTTGGTCTGGATTTTTACTTTATGGACCTGAACTATCCACCTCTGGGTAATATTCACTGACTGTCTCCATCAATGATGCAGCTACAATTTTCATCTACCAGTATGGTTGGATCCTTCTTATAAACGGACCATATTTATCCACATTGCCCCTCAGATCTGTAATAAAACAGAAGAAATTTTATTTTTTTTAATCCATGTTTCCTTCCTCCGGTAGCATAGCAATAACGCTAAACAAAAAACAAATATGCATTCAACTGAAAGGAGAGACAGCCAGCCTTCATGAATGGAGCTGGGTCAACTGCAAACTCTGTCAAAGTAATACAGCATTACTATCGAGGGTTGTTCCACCATTAGTGATGTTACTGTTACAACACTTGTTCAGAGTACTCAAAGATACCTTTACTGGCTTTCAGAAACAAAGTATGACACAGAGCCTTCCAGAGGCCATCCATCCACAATACCAGATTTACAGCTGCCTGGGTACAGGGACTATTGGAGAGTACACTGCAGAAAACAGGTAACCGACTGGAGTCGGGACATCTGATTGGATGAGCAGCTGCAGGATGAGGTCAATAAAAAGCAGACTGAAGTGTGGACCAATGGAAAAGCCAGGAACAGGAAACAGGAAGTAAGATTGAAACATAGAAACAGGACAACCACAACCAGAAAATAAAGGATATCTCTGGCCAATCAGAACCCAAAAACCCAGGAACGAAACAATGACTAACAGACACTCAAGACTGATGAAAATCCCAGCGATTAGGACTGAACGATTTATCAGTTTCAAATCGAAATTGCGATTTGAAACAACGCCATTAGCAAATCACAGGCTGCAATTTAGGATATGCATTATACAGAATGTCTGACTCAAGGCTTAAAACTGTAGTGAGAATAATTTTACAAATTCATGCCATCCTCCTTGTGTGACAATCATGCTCACCAATCAGAAGTGCGGTGCTCCTCGCGTGCCACTCATGCTCTCCAAACAGAAGTGGCCCAAGGCCACTGTGTATTCACTCACAAACAACAAACACATGAAACCCAAGAAAAACATTACATTTGCGGTGTGAAAAAATACAGATTCCACTGCTGAGCCGTAAGTGAACTACTTCCCATTTCATGGTCAGAGTTGTTTACAAAAAGGTCCTGTTATCAATAGAACTACTGCGACCTCCTTTAACCACCAGCAACAATGAACTTCTGCGTATCACACCTTGTTTTGTCAATGGGCCATCTCATTAGCATGCCGTTCACCCAACAACAAAACAATGACAGAGTCAGCATGTTTACATGCACACTAAAAAAAATTAATTACGCATACTTTGGTCAATAAATCGATTCCCCTCCTGTGCATGTACAGTTATGGCCAAAATTTTTGAGAATGACATGTATTGGTTTTCACAAAGTTTGCTGCTTCAGTGTTTGTAGATCTTTTTGTCAGATGGCAGCCGATTCTTACATAATCAATGCTTGGAGTTTATCAGAATTTGTGGGTTTTTGATTGTCCACCCGCCTCTTGAGGATTGACCACACGTTCTCAATGGGATTAAGGTCTGGGGAGTTTCCTGGCCATGGACCCAAAATGTCAATGTTTTGTTCTCCGAGCCACTTAGTTATCACTTTTGCCTTATGGCACGGAGCTCCATCATGCAGGAAAAGGCATTGTTCATCACCAAACTGTTCTTGGATGGTTGGGAGAAGTTGCCCTTGGAGGATGTTTTGGTACCATTCTTTATTCATGACTGTGTTCTTAGGCAAAATTGTAAATGAACTCACTCCCTTGTCTGAGAAGCAACCCCATACATGAATGGTCTCCGGATGTTTTACTGTTGGCATGACATAGGACTGATGGTAGCGCTCACCTTTTCTTCTCCGGACAATCTTTTTTCTGGATGCCCCAAGCAATTGGAAAGGGGATTTATCTAAACTGTATTGGCCCACAAATCGTAAGCGACGCTGATTGGGTAAACATGGCAACTGACTGTACCCCAGTCCTCAGCAGTCCAATCCCGGTACCTTTTTCAGAATATCAGTCTGTTCCTGATGTTTTTCTTGGAGAGAAGTGGCTTCTTTGCTGCCCTTCATGACACCAGGCCATCCTCCAAAAGTCTTTGCCTCACGCTGCATGCAGATGCACTCACACTTGCCTGGTGCCATTCCTGAGTAAGCTCTGCACTGGTGGTACCCCAATCCCACAGCTGATTCAACTTTAGGAGAAGGTCCTGGCTCTTGCTAGACTTTCTTGGGTGTGCTGAAGCCTTCTTCACGACTATTGAACCTCTGTTCTTGAAGTTCTTGATGATCCAATAAATGGTTGATTTAGGTGCAATCTTACTAGCAGCAATATCCTTGCCTGTGAAGTCCTTTTTGTGCAAAGCAATAACCATGTTATTAACCATGGTTAACAGAGGAAGGTCAATGATTTCAAGCACCACCCTCCTTTTAAAGCATCCAGTCTGCTATTCTAACTCAATCAGCATGACAGAGTGATCTCCATCCTTGTCCTCATCAACACTCTAACCTGTGTTAATGAATCACTGAAGTGACGTCTGCAGGTCCTTTTGTGACAGGGCTGAAATGCAGTGGAAATGGGTTTTTGAGAATAAGTTCATCTTCATGGCAAAGAGGGACTTTGCAATTAATTGCAATACATCTGATTACTCTTCATAACATTCTGGAGTATATGCAAATTACCATCATCAGGGGCGGATCTAGGATTTTTGGAAAGGGGGGGCACAGCCACTAGAGCGAGTGCCGTAGGCGTGAATCTCTAGGCAACAAAAATTGTTGTTCATGGAAAAATAGGGGGGGCGTGCGTCAGGTGCGTCCCCCTCTGGATCCGCGCCTGATCATACAAAGGAGGCAGCAGACTTTGTGAAAATGAATATTTGTGTCATTCTCAAAACTTTTGGCCACAGCTGTAAATGATTTTGTTGTAATTCTGTTTTTCCTGCAGGGCATTTTATTGTTGTTGTTTTTTTTTTTTTTTTTTTTTGCATTTTGGTTTGCTATTTACTGCGTTTTGAGATCTGAAGAAGTTACATGTACATGCCATGCAGGTACTTTACATACTGTAATGTAGAACCTTGCAATGTTAAACTGGTGTGTTTCATATGATTACAGCTTTTCTGTTTTATGTCTTTGGAAAGTGATCAGTCAGTGACAATGAGAAAGGGGAAACCAACTATCATTCAGAATTGTGGAGCTCAGGAGTACGCTCACACTGACCTACTGACAATATATCTAAGCATTTTGACGATCATGATTTAAACAATGCTGACTCTACTTTTCATTTTGGTGACATTGACTAATTCATTGGTGTAATTATGTGCTTTTGATTTCACAAAAATATCCAAATTAAGCGCTTTTCCACGATGGTTCTGAGAACAGCTAGATTGCTTAGACGGTCATCTGCCATGGTTGTATGGCACAGGTTATTATTTTACCATTTCTCCAAGCTGAAAAGCTGCACTCCCACCCTACAGTCCCCACTGGCAACCCACTGCTTAAACGTTATGGATTCAAGCATGCCAGGGTTTTGAAGCTCTTTTTGTCTTTACTAAAACGAAAGTTGGCTCATAAAATCTAAAATGCTCCTAGAAGTCACGTCTTGGAACTCCATTTAGCGAGCAACTTTAGCCTACTTTTTGCTTACATTACAGTATCCAGGGGCGGATTAACGCACAGGCTAGATATGGCTTAAGCCTAGGGGCCCCACGTGTGCCAGCCTTCAAGGGGGCCCCCATTGGCCAGTAAAAAATATATAATTTTATTTAAATTTGCATACGAGAAAATATCTAAACTGTATTGGCCCACAAATCGTAAGCGACGCTGATTGGGTAAACATGGCAATGCTCATAATACACGACATAATAGGCCATACACTTGACAGGAGTGAGAACAAGAAAATGGCAGAAAGAAGAAAATATGATAGTGGCGCTCAGAAACGAAAAACAGAGAGAATTAAAGAACAATGACACCAAAATCTTCTACGGCAAATCCCTATATTGACAGGATATTTCAAACCTGGTGCTGGATCCAACAATCACCATATCGAAAATCAAGTTAACGTTGATAATGACTTCAGTGATGGAGCTATGCTAACTGGAGCTGGAGCTATTGTTAGCTCTACAGCGGGAACAAGCAGTCCTACCCTAGCTGATGATACTTTCCACGCGGCGTCGGACCCGCCTCCTGTTGCAGTCTCTGATGGAACACCAGCAGAAAGTCCGGTGCCGGTAGAAGCTAATTTAAGCCCAGATCCTGGCTGCTGGGGCGAAATTGATGAAAATGCTAGAAAATACTGGATTACAATCAGGGGCGGATTAACGCACAGGCTAGATATGACTTAAGCCTAGGGGCCCCACGTGTGCCAGCCTGCAAGGGGGCCCCCATTGGCATGGAGGGGGGCGGGGTTGGGGGGCCCACAGACTACTGTAGCCTAGGGACCTCTCTACACCTTAATTCACCCCTGATT